CTTTAAGATAAAAAAAAAACAACACCAAAAAAAAAAAAACCAACCCAAATCGAAAAGACGCCCCGTGTTTTGGTTTCTTTCTTCCCTCTCCCACCCTGCCTTGCCCTGTCAGGCCATTAATTCTAACAGAAACCACCAGCTCTGGTTTTTTCCCCTCGAACCCCTCAGCTGTTGCAGGGAGACAGCTGCACCCTCTGGAACTAATTACAGCTGTCTGGGAGATTTAGCCCTCCATCCCAACAACTCCAATATTGCTGCTAATTTTTAACACGTACAGTTGGAAGATGTCATAATAGGCTGATATATGATTGAATCTTAAAAGTGCTACAGCGCAGCTGCTACCAGGCATCTGGTGGGATGAATATATTGATTTAAAAAATAATGCTTATTATTTTTAGCCTTTCTGCCCTCCCTGAGGCTCCAGTTTTGCCCGATCCGGGTGGTGATGGGGAGTGGGTGCTTGCCCAGAAGAGTGGTGGCAGGCAGGTCCCGGCATCCCATGCGGGGCCGTGGGTCCTTCTGGGTGTCTCAGTGGTCCTCCCGCTTCCAGCCATCTGTACCAGGATCGGCCCCGTCACTCTGCCAGCACCTCCCGGGCACCGCCGTTGAGCTCGGGAGAAGCTGCCAAACGGTCACTTCTGTCCCTTGTCCTCCATCCCTGTTGTTGTTACGGCAGAGAAGGTTTTCCATCTCCTGGAGGAGAAATGTCTGACTTGATTTATCTGACCGCATCTTGTTTCTTGCCTCTCAAGTGATTTTTTTGCCCTTGTGTTTCTCCTAAGGGACCTAACCTGAGCTGGTTCAACCTGATGCTTCTCCTGAGCCGTTTCCCTGCCCAGCTGCGGTACCTGGTGCCCAGTGCTTCCCAGGGAGCCAGGAGGAGCTGCCGGCTTGCGTTCGCACAGTAAATCCTGGGAAACTGCATGTAGCTGGGATTGTCCTTTCTGTCTGTCTCCCCTGAAGCAGGGGTCTTGCTTATCCTTCTTCAAGTATAAGTGACCACCCGTGGCATTAGACTCCTTTTAATGAAGATGAAGTCAGATAGCTTCTTCATGACCTCCTTGAAGATGTTCCCATTTCTCCAGAGCAGCGAGTGAGGTTCACACATGCTGGCAGTTTCCTGCCATCACCAGCCAGAAGGTCTTCACCTCAGCCCCAAAGCTGCAAAAATCAGACGCAACTGCTGATAAGCTGATCTGTAGCTTGTGACAGTTTCCTAATCTGCAGGCAAACGCACATGTGCGTGTCTCGCCTGAGTTACGAGCTATCCAGGGCTCCAAGGGATGCTTGTAAACTCTGTGAGCCCTGAAATGATGGACCCCGGGGAGTTAATGCTTCGGCCCTGTCAGTGCAGCAGCGCGTTCGCCCCCCCGAGTCCCGGGAGGAGGGAGCAGGTCCAGCGAGGCAGCGCTGGAGGAGTTTGCAAATCCTGTAACTTCAGGACTGAGGCACCCAGGTAGCTTATAAATACCGGGGTAGCTTGTAAACTCTATGAGCCCTGAAATGAGGGGCTCCGGCGAGTATTAAACTCTGCAGCTTTTACATCCGTGAGCCTTGCAAGGGAAGATTCCCACAGGTTCCTGATTTTCCACGTTACTCCCCCAGCCCCTAACCCCAGGCAGGGCGGAGAGGATGGGTAGCGCGGGGTCTGGATGCTGCTGGCCTGTTTTGATGCTGAGAAGTATTGTGATGCTCAGAGGTATTCCCACTGCAGTTTCTCCGTCCTGCAGCACATGTTGGCTGCTGAAGCCAGGTAAAGGCTCTTTGGTGCCTCCATTGACCAGAATGGAAACCTTCAAGTCTTGAATCCCAGAGAAGCTCTGGCAGTGCAGGACAGCGAAGGTGTGCTGGAGCTTTGTTCCAAAACGGTTCAGCTCCATGGAGTTTACAAACCCCACGGAGCTGTTCAGGTTCCTCCTCCGTGGATCTTGCCATCCTGACATGGACCGTGCATCCCAGCACCCCATCTCACGGCTCAGGTGGCGCGGGTTGGGGGAAGCAGAGTGACCGTGGCTGGGACAAGAGGGTGGCTGAATTTAGCAGTCGGGGGACTTGGGGGGACTCTTTGGATTGATTTAGGCTCTGAACAGAGGAGTCTGAAACACAGTCAGATAGAAAGGCAAACTTTCTGCCACAAAAATGCATCTTCAATTGCATGTGGTCGCTTTAATGCTCACACGGTTCTAGTTTTACATGCCGATCCCTTTGATAGCAAACGTTTTAATAGACAGAGAACATATGGGAAAAATCATACCAAATCAGATGATAGATATTATTTAATCTGGGCAGGCAAGCCCATTCGAAAGGGACAAGGAAATTTTCATTCCAGAGGGGTTATAGGACAGTCACAGAATCACAGAATTTCAGAGTTGGAAGGGACCTCCAGAGATCATCTAGTCCCGCTCCCCTGCTAAAGCAGGATTGCCCAGAGCACATCACTCAGGACTGCATCCAGGCGGGTTTTGAAAATCTCCAGAGAAGGGGACTCCCCAACCCCCCTGGGCAGCCTGTGCTACTGCTCTGCCACCCGAACTGTAAAGAAGTTTTTTCGTGTGTTGGAACAGAACTTCCTATGTTCCAACTTGCACCCATTGCCCCTCGTCCTGTCACTGGGAACCACCGAGAAGAGTCTGGCTCCATCCTCCTTCAACCCACCCTTTAGATATTTGTAAGTAGTAATAAGGTCTCCCCTCAGCCTTCTTTTCTCCAGGCTAAAGAGTCCCAGCTCTCTCAGCCTGTCTTCATAAGGGAGATGCTCCAATCCCTCAATCATCTTGGTTGCCCTTCCAGTCCTTGAGGTTGGGGAGAAGGCGCTTCTGTGTCTGAGCAGAGACCTGGGCACCTCCTGGGGTCTCCTAGGTCTGCCCTGGGGTACATCAACTGCTCTCCGCACTCCGCATTCTCCGCCTAGAAAATGGGAACTTCGCCACATGGGGTTTGCAGATCGCTCCTTCAGCATGGGGCACCCCGTTACGCCCGTATTGAGGGGGGTGCGGAGACGGGTCCAGCTTGGTAGATGCTCTGCAGTTGCTTAGTGAAGAAAAAAACCCAAAAGCCCCGGTGTGGCAGACAGGGGGAAGCTTCGAGCAGGAGAAGGACTGACGTAAAATCAGCCACCGAAGCTTTTTTGGGAGGTGGATATATTTTGAATCCAAGCAAGCAATCGAACAGCACAGCTTGGAAATCTCCTACCATCCCGGACAGGAGCCTGCAGGCTACCTGGACCCGCGGGAACGTTGCTGTTCAGTAATGCTCTAATTATTAACAGGATTTTTTGTGCTCCTGTAAAGTAAACACTGTGGGCGTAACACTTCAGCCCCCGCTTGACTTTTACCAGCCTCAGAAAAGGAGGGAGAAGAGAAGGTGTGGAAATGGCCCTGACTGTAATGGAGCCGGCAGCTGCGGGGCAGCGTTTGTGGCGATGAGCTGCAGGTTTGTGCAGCCCGAGCCCCCGCCGGGGCTGTGGCATCGCCCCCTCCTCTGCCCATTTACCTTCCCGTGTTTGAGGGTTGGTACCCTGCCTCCCTGCAGCCCCCCGTCAGCGGCGGGGTGCTCTGCCACGGAGCTGTACGGCATCGGGGGGCACCTCTGTCCCCACGCTTCCCTCGGCACCCAGCCCTTACCAGTAGTTTAAATTCTAGTTGTCCCAGTGTAGCTCCAAATGCTTTAGTCTGGGCTTCCTTGGATCCCACCTTCATCCTCAGCAGAGGAGGAAACATGGAGATATTTGTCCTATTTTCATTCCAGCCAGGAGATAATCAGAAAACAGATGTACTGCTGGTTGCTGCGAGTCAGCAGCAAGTGATGAGCGTGATGAGCAGCTCAGCGTTAATGTGTTTTGTTAGGAGAATCGATTCTGTACTGCTCATCTGGGTACCCAGCAAGATCTAAATTGAGATGTCGGGATGTGATTGCAGCAGACCTTTTAATTGGGTGCGGTTTTATCCAGCGTCTGCAATCTCCCCTGCTTCCCGTCGGAGTGCCGGTGGCACGAAGGTGAGCGCTAATGGCAAATATGTAGGAGTCATCCCTAATTATTTTAGCAGTAGGAAGGAACTTTATGGCTGCCCGAGGTGCAGCCCCGGGAGCGAGCAGCTGCGGGAGCGCAGTGCCCTGCTCAGTAGCAGGGTTTGTATTTTAGTAGTGAAGCAAAGCAGGTTTAAATGAGCATTGACATGACTTTGACATTTTTATATTGTGGGTTATTTTATGAACTTATCCAGCAAATGCGGCGATGCACTCTGCAAACAGGGACCACAACGCTGGAGGACCGGGGTGTTACTCCTTCTCTTGTCAGCATGCCCTACATCAAGCGGGACCAAACCTCCCGAACCGAGCGGCATGGTTAGCCTCCGAATGTGTTTCGCGACACTGATGAATGCTTCTTTCTGCACTGTTTTAAAATCTCCTTTTCTGTCAACTCCCAGGGCGGCCAGAAAACAGATGCGCTCGTAGCCCCGCTAATAAGCTGCGGAGCAGAAGGAGCAGCCGCTGGCTGGGGCAGAAGGATGCTGGGGTGGGAGTCAGGCTCTGTACCTAAATATGTCCCAGGCAGAAATACTCCATAGTTGCTCGCAGAAAAGAAAAGAAAAATATCATTTCCCTGCTTTTATTATTATTATTTCAAATTTGGTTGTAGAGAGGTGTGTGGAGCGTGTGGCGGCGGTGGGGAGTTCAGAGAAGGGGGTTGTTAAAGCTCCTCTGCCTTGTGCATCGTTCCAAAATTGCTCCAAGAGGAGCCCGGGAGCTCGCTGGTGCCTCGCTCCGGCAGGGACGGCTGCATCGCTGCCTCCGGCTGCGGGCGTCCCAGGGATGGATGGAGCACCAGGATGCGGGAGCCAGCCAGGCTGAGCGCCCTCGAGCTGATTTCTCCATCCAGCTACAGAAAGGCTCAAAAACTCCGCTCCCAGGGAACCGTAAATGGGGTCTGATGCCTTTCCGCATCCCCCCGGCAGTGGTGCCAGCCCCTCCTGAGCAGGCTGTGCTTTGTGTCTCTGCAGGTGGATCCGAGGAGAACACTTCAAGTACAAATTCAGCCGACCCGGGGGAAAGCATGCCAGCGAAGGGAGGTGGTGGATACGGAAGAGGATCGGCCCTTACTTCCCCCCTGTCAACCTCCAGGGCCTGAAGAAATTTTATGAAGACAGGAGTTGGCCATACCCTGCACCAGACTGATGGAGGAGGATGAGCAAGGTCAAGAGGGACCAGCTGGGGAAGAAGGAGAGCAGTCAGCTCCCGTACAAACTACACATCTTGCCTTTCTCTGTATTTTTTATCCATATCCTCGTTTACACATATTTTACAGAAGGTTCCCAGCCAACCTGTCCATCTGCTGTTGTGATCTGTTTTTTCTCATCTTTCTTTTTCTATCTGTTCATCCTTCTCGCCACGGCTTTGCCTGGTGATTGATTTCTTTTGCCAGTCCACTCCCTTTGGAAATTGTCAGCTCTAGAATGGGCAAAAAGGTGAACAAATACCGCGATTAGTTTTGGGGAGGTGTTGGTGTTGCTTTCCCCGACCCATTGCATTGTGTGACGGCTGCAGAGGTGCAAGGGGGTATTTTGGGGTGATCTCCTGCCTCACCAGTGCTCCCAGGTTCACTGGGATCCAGCATCGGGCAGAGCAGCCGGGTCCTGCTGTGCAGGTGGCTCATGCGGACATGATGCTGTCCCAGCATGGGGCACCGCTCCTCCACCCCATCTCTCCCCTTCCCTCCCCATCCCTCCCCATCCCTCTCTATCCCTCCTCATCCCATCCCATCCCATCCCATCCCATCCCATCCCATCCCCTTGTGCACTGCCAGCACTGAGCCATCAAAGCTGCTTTATTCCCAGCATAGCTGTCCCCACGCTGTCCTCGCTGTCGCCCTGGGAAGGGCCCGGTCACCACTTTCTCACCGCAGGTTAATGACTGGGCTGAGCTACGTGTCCTGCCTGCCAGGCATGGCCCGCCTGTCCCACAGTTCGTCCCCGGGGCAGCACGGCAAGCTGGGACTGGGCAGTGCCCCCAGGCTGGGGAAAACACCCTGGGAACTCACCCTGAATTTCCCCTGTCCCTCCCCTTTGCTTTGGAGTCTCCCCTCATCTTGGGGTGTGTGTTTAAAATCACTCCAAATTGTCCCACCACGTGGGTTTTGCTCGGTGAGCCCAAATCACAGTGATGGGAGGGAAGCGAGAGCAAGAACGTGGACGGCGTCTGAAACAGCCAGCAACTGGCTGGGGTAGTTTATAATAATCGACTGCTTGTTAGCACGTTCTGCTGCACACGTTTCTTCTTGCGGGGGTGGGGGGGAAAGATCAAAGCAACCTGTGTAATACATAAAACCCCGTTGTCCCAGGGCTTGCCTGCAGAAAGCCACAGGTTTACTGAGAAACCCGAAATAGCTCCTTGCTGGAGCTGCTGTGTGGGCTCTGTGAATCAGCCCCGAGGACAAGCACAGCCCTGTGCGGCCGCCCCGTCCCGTGTCCCATCGCTGCCGATGCTCCTGGGTCGCCCGGGCGGCAGCGGCGGGGTTGGAAAGGCGGCCGGAGTCAACAAGTCTGCCGCCAGCCCCACCGCGTTTACACAGGTCTTGTTTTAACGGGCCCTGGTCGGGCAGCGCAGACGCACGGGGCTGCGCCTTCCTGTTTGCTTAACCTGGGATTTTTATAACTGGTGCTTTTTGCCAGCGGCCCCAGGGTTGAAATCCGCCTGTTTGGGGAGCTGGTGGAGTTTGGTGCCGGAGGTGTCTGCCCGGCCGGTGTTCGGGAGGAATTGAGCATCCCACGGGCACGGTCCAGCGCCGCCGGCTGCACGGCCACGCACCCGAGCAGGAGAGGGCAGGGAGAATCGCAGAAAGGGGCTTGCCAGGCTTTTCCCTCTGAT